AACTCTTACCTATGGCCACTCTTTGCGTGTAGCCGAGAAGGATACACGAATCGCCCCACGCGGCGGAAACGGTGTGTTGGGTCCTTTTGTGGGGCGGGGAAGGCCCACGGGACGGGACAACGTAAGTCGATTTCCTCCAAGCTTCCAGGCCACTCAGGCAAAGGAGCGAGGAAGTTCATGAGGATAACGATAAGGCTGGAGGGCCACGGCTGTATCATTCAAACACGGGCGGCCTCCTTGATTAGCAAGCTTTGCGATGTCCGAGGGATGGAAAATCTCTGCCCCCACTGCGGGGTTCCCAAGACGGTTCTTGGTCAAACTGCGCCGTTCATGCAGGTTGCCTCAATGATGGCCCTTGTGCGTGCGTCAAGCATGACACTTTGCACCGTAGTCTGTACAATGTGAGCTCACAGAGGCCAGGGAGGCCCGCAATGCTTTGGAGATCCCATCTGCGATCCTTGAGAAAGGAGCGAACAGTGATGACCTTGTGGTCACGCGTGGTGTGTGTGTGTGGGTTCTGACTCAGATGTGCCCCCTCCCTCTACGAGTTCTCATTGTGACCTTTCGGGCGGCGCAGGGGCCAATCGGAATTTGCAGGCCGAAGAACTTTCGACTCTGGCAGGAGAAGTGTCGAATCCCGGGATGGCCGCCAACGGGAGTTGCACGAAGCAGGCCTTCCGCTGTCTTCACCGCGCTGTTTGGGCCGTCGCGCTCATGCAGCAAGGCACCGAGTCTCTTTTAGTTGTGATCAGGGGGTGATTCCAGGAGGGTTGCCAGTCGCCTGCGATGTCTGCACATGCAGCAGCAGCTTTGTGCGGACAGGCAGCCGACCGCCCCACATCTCTGGCCCTCGATTGTAAAGCAGTGACATGCCAGACCCAGCTCCCGCCGTGGAAACAGTTGGCTGGCATGAGCAAACTTGCTGGAGTGAGGCGCTTCGCCTCAGAACTAGCAGGCGCTGATGTTTGACCACTCCCACGTGAAGGCCCATCGGGACACTGAGGCCCTAGAGGATCTGGCAGGTGATGGTCGATGCTCTACTTTTCCGAGTCGGGCTGTGGACGAAGACGCCAAGAAGGCCTTAGAGCGCCATCCACGGCCCGATGCGAAACTTTTGGAGCACATCGAGCTTTATCAAGATCGAGCGAATGCGTTCACTTCGTTCCGGCAATCCCTTTTTGGAGAAATGAGGCGAATTGCGCACGAGCCCCAAGTTTCTCTGCAGCTCGAAGTCGGCAGGGAAGATAATGGCGCTCCTGGAGGAGATCGGAGCTCGGCATGCAGTGTCGGCGCTGTTGGATGGTGTGCGATCGACCCGACAGGCCCATGCGCGGACGCGGAGGTGCACCGCTTGCTCTCCAGAAGCTGCTGCGCGATTCCTTGGGGCACTGGCGCGTCGCTGTGTCGGGCTCGGCTCTTTGTCGCTCCGCGTTCAGGGGCCGTCATGGCGCCGTGCGTCGGGCAGCAAATATTTCATTGTTCACGCTTCGCGCATTCCCACCAGAATACATCGGCGGGGGAGTCGCCATGTCCAACAAGCGCCTCGACGAAGACTCCCCGGCATCCCCGGCCCCCGGTGCGGCACTCAACCCACCCAAGGTAAGTGACGACAAGTTCTTTACCAGGCAGCAGGTCGGCAGCTTCGACTGCGACGGTTGCCCGAACACTGGGCTACAAGGCTCGGCAGGCACCTGGGAGGACGACGACACAAGGGAGCTACTGGAGCAGAACCGCTCCCAAGCGTACCTGCAAGGCCGAAGCTGTAGGTGGCTGTGCGAGCTGTGCTGGATCAAGTCGCTGGAAAGCAGAGGCATCGAGGTCCCCCTGGCCGAAAACAAAGACCTCAGCAACAAGAAGTCGCTCCAGCAGCGCCTATTGACGTACAAGCGCACACTGGACGAGGCTCGCTACCGAAAGAGAGCCCGTGCTCTCCCCCCCTGGATCGGCTCCCAGTCGGGCGCGGGCAACCGGACACTACGCAGTTTCCCTCCTGCCTGCGCGACCTTGTCATGAACACCCCGCCCGTCTACAGGCCACGGGCAGTCGCCACCACCCTCCCAGCCCACAAGCTGTCCGGCGGCAGATCCGGGCCCGACTCACACCATGTGAACACCCACTCCGCCATGTGCGACACCTGCCCCGCGGGGTCGCCACTGCTCGCGTGGTCGGCAACGCACTCGGCTGCTTCATGTGGAGCCCGGAGCCAGGTGCGCCGCGCAACGACGAGACAGGGCTACCGCCTTGGGATACCATGCCCACGCTCTGGACCCAGCAGCAGTGGAACGCAGGCTGGGCCTGCAGGCGATGCCTCATCCACATCTGGAACGTAGCGCCCGGCACGCTCGACCGCATCCTGGACCAGCACTCCTCGAGGGCATGTCCCACCGCCCCCACCAGGCGCGCAGCAACAGCAGAAGTGCAGGAGGATAGCTACGACATCAGCGCCCACCTCTCCCCAGCGGGCGTCAACGCAGCGGCAAAGGACACATGCTCAAGGCAATCGGCCCCAAGGGGCGAGCTCACCCCCAACGACAGGGAGCACAACAGCGCGGCAGGAGAAAGCAGCGAACCAGTCAGGGTCGGACGCGATAGCAATTCCGTGTTTCCCGACGTGGACCCGCCAGAGTGCCCCGTCCTACCAACCCAATCCACCCTCAGGCTCTCCGGGGTGGAATCCGATGGCCCCGTTCACTCCTTGGTGAACTACCTGCTGGAATGGAATCATTCCGTTTACAAGTGTTGAGCCGATTTCGTACAGCGGCACGGTGGCGGCATCCCAGGGGGCAGAGCCGATGAGGGGTCGTGGCCCACAGCAAGCCTGCTCCCTTTCCTGGTAACGTTCTACGAGGAGTCGATTCCAAACAACGGCCACCCCCCCGACATCCCATGGGATGGGCAACGGGCTGCAGTGACCAGAGTGGTATACCACCTAATGAGATCCAACGGGAAGTACCAAGGCAAATGGGATAGCTACGTTGCCAACCTGACAGAGCAGAGAGGCCAGTGCCCCTTCCGACAGCGGATCGGCACACTGCTGACATTCCCTATGGGAATTGACCAGGCCGCCCTGGCCTACGGTACCACCACCGCCCTGACCAAACGAGATCCGCGCGAGGCGGCCGCAGGCCCCTCAGCGGTGGGCGATTCACCAGCAGCAACTTGGCTGAACAGAGCAGTTGAAACCGAGGACCCCCCCCCCTCCCCAGCAGTCAGCATTGGACCTGCACAAGAGGACACCTCTGCCCGTGCTCCCAGAGCGAACCCCCCCGCCTCAAGCGCAGACGGGGGACGCGACCCTCAGGCAGAGGGGAGAGCCCCAACCGACCAGGCAAGCAAAATCGAAGGCGAACCAGATGGGATCGACTGGGGAGGGGAAGGGGACAAGAAAAGCGAATCCGACAGCGCCAAGGACCCGAGCCCGGAGCTCAGCCCAGCCCCGGTGGCAGGCGAGGGAGAAGAGGGCAGCCCTGACCCCTTCAAACTCTTCCTGGAACCACCCGACAGGCCCGACGCCTGGCCCCCACACGGCCGGATCGTTGATAGGAACGCCGCCCGTGTAGTCAAGAGCGCGAGAGACAGCCCACCAAGAGCAGACAGCGCAGCCTGGAGCATCAACGACGTCAGGGATGACCGTGCCCTCAGCCGCGCGAGCGGTGAGAAGGGCCGCCGGCGACCCGTGTGGGCAGACGCCGAGGACGGGGATGGCCGTGCCACCAAATCCCCTAGAGGCGACCCAGCGCGGGCACACATTTCCGAGGCGCCCTGGAGGGATGCAAGGCAACCCGGGCGACCCCATGGGGGGCATCCCCATGTACATGTGCCCTGTTACCGATGCGGACGTCACGAAGGATGAACCCGTGCAGGATAAGATAATGCGCCTGCAAAAGACGCTGGGAGGAGCGTTCAATGGAGTTTGGGCCGCATGGGTGAAGAAGGCTGCCATGAGACAGGGGACCAACGGAAGCGAAAAGCACGACCCTAAACGGAACACGGTCCAGTCGTGCAACGAATGCATCCAGGCGCGGGACAGCGCAGGGTACGACGCCTACAAGATGGACAGCGTCCTAGGGCTCAACTTCCACTGGCCGTCGGTCAAGGACAAGCACATGAAGCTCCTCCAACGTGAACCCAAGACCCACGCTCAGCGCGGACCTGCCAGCA